TGAGCAGCCAAGAAAAAGAGACATGAAAGGGAATTTGGAAATAATGAAGGAGTGACGAGGGGTGAGTACGTGAGTGTGTGTGGCCAAGAGATGTTTCAACGAGAGGCGGGAGTAGTAAAAATACAGCATGTACATCGTTCAAAGCATCTAAGTATGGATACAAAAAAAGGGAAGGGTGAGCAAGCAAGATATGCACATATGATGACGCGGGTGGGAGAACGAGAGAGTAAATACTGAATGGAGGGGGGTGAGGGGTAAAGACAGGTACTTGGTATCATCCAGCAACAGTGACAGATCAAGAAACTCGAGAGGTAGGTATCAGACCCCAGAGGGTGAGCGAGATCCTCAAAGGGGTGAGGCTCTGGACGTGGGTGGACGCGACGCGGAAAGATAAAGAGGAGAACGGCGGAACACTGAAACCAATCACCAATCACGCCGTGATACCATGCTCTTGACGAAGAAAGCACTGCTGAGGTGGCTGAATCGTTGACACCTTCTCGATATCCTCCGAGTCCTCCATCTCGCAAAAGCTGACTCCGTGTCCCTGAATGACGACGCCCATAAGCAAGAGAACGAGAGACAAGCAAATGAAAAATAAAACCTACATGTTCAATCTCATCCGAACTGCGATCATCACGTCCCGACTTTGACCTGCCGACCGGGCTCATCTCCACCTGTTCCTGTCCACCCTTCTCAAGATCGCGATCATTATCGTACTTGTGCATCGTGTCGACGTGGATAGAGATCCCTCCTGCAATGCGAGTCGGCTGGAATAGAGATGAAATGTTAGTCAGCAGAGGGGTCATACACCAAACAGATACTAGTACTCACCATAGCAGACCCCATCGTCGGCAAGTCGCGAGAACAAAACATGTGACTGTTGGTACTATTGTAGTCGTCGCCACTGTTGCGGATGTACGATCGCGCGTTCAAAGTACACATGAGAGAGTTGGCGTAGACTGATCGGAAACAGCATTAGTCTCTGGAGATTGCACAAGAGAAGAGACAACTCACGACGTCCGATCGTGAAGAAGAAAGCGATATAAATGAAGGTGGTCGGAGCGGCCAAGATCTAGAATGCCAACAATCAAATTAGATTACTGGTCCGAAAAACCAAGTTTGAATCTACTCACCGAAATTAATGAACCAACGGCGCAGCATCTAGTCGTAGTATAGATGTCAGTCAAATAGTCTCGAGGTACGGGAGACCGCAGAGACTTACGTCGTGAGGAGCCCAGTGTTGACGGTGAAGTGGATCTGCGCCGCCCGGGGAAGGGAAGGAGATATGACATCTGAATAGAAGTCTCAAACGGAGAAGGAAGTAGAACTCACAAGCCTCGTAATGATAGCATCGGACCTACAAACACAGGAAGGGGTAAGCAAGGCGGTATGGACAGTGTCAAGAAAATTCTCCGTACCTTTGGAAGCCAGTTCGGGATCGGTGAAGAAGGAATGAGAGAGACCCTGTGATGTATACATCCCCGGCGGCGGCGAGGGCATTGACCAGGATGGACAACCACTAAAGTTTCATTAGGAATAATGGACCGAGTATTATGACGACTTGAGGGGTCTGCTCACCTTCATGGTTGCAAGGTCGGCGAAGGTCCTGACGGACACGAGACTGTGCAACAGGTTAGTCACACGCTAGGTCGGAGGAGGCAAGTCGTTAAACCCAAGAGAACGTACGCTTTGATTCCGAAGGCTTCGAGTTCGAGAAGAGGGATGGGTGTAAGTCGCGGTGCTGGAGCGGAGTTCGAGAATGATGTACTAACCAATAATGCATCCTAAAAAGTTCATATTACTACACGCACGGACAAAGAAAAGAATGAATACCACGTACCAAATTCAGCCAGAACCAACAGGAACGCCGGAGCAGTCAACCAGAAACTATGCTTGCTCACTAAAGAATAGGAAATAACAATAGCAAAGTGTCAGGGTTACGGCGTCCTTGATGAATCTAGAAGTTCGAGGCAACGTACAACGCCAGACACGCAATGTGAGGAAGCTGGAAGACGAAGGGGTCAGTGTGATTCTAGGTTGGTGGGATATTAAGGCGACACACCTCTGAACAAGAAACCCGATTAAACCCTGGCGAAATGGTCGGAAGGTCAATGTAAGTAAGATATCGAACTGAGGAAGGACTCACATTAAAGAGGACCTCCGCCTATGACAGCTCGGATCAGAAAGACAGTCACGGAGGAACGTACTGGCAAAACATACCAATAGACTCCTACAGACAACAGAGGATTAGTAAAGAAAAGTTGTAGGTGTACAAGGCCTTACCAGACAACGGTGTTGAGCGCAAGGGGATCTCCGGCATCCAGAACGAGGTAGGTATAGACTATGATAGGTCGTGGGTAAGTAGGTGTGAGGGAGAAAGATGGTGGCGGGGAACGATCCGTACTCGTGTGGCATATGAAAACTTGATGGATGGTATCGAAGACGAAAACAGAGCCAACCTGAAGGAGACCAGTAAGCGGAGTTTTCGACTGGGAGGAAACGGGACCTGCCAAAGATTTCAAGCACCAGTCGTCGTGGCGTTCACGCGGTGTCTCCGACGGTTTGACGATGAAATAGATGTACGTTTGGATAACAGATACTGGGTGAAAGATATGTTTATTACGTTCGATTCGGTGTTGCGCGCGAGATACTGTACTCACTTCCATAGAAGCTGTCGGGGTCGTGGTCAGAGCCTAGCAAACGCGACGACAAGTTGAAATGACTTACGCAGACGCGATTATGACCCCGATGAGGGCAGCACCCACCCTGCGACAGCGGAATGTTAGTGAGACCTCGGATAAGAGAGAATGATATTCTTCAACCCACGTTAGTTCCATAACCTTTTGGGGCGGCATCCCTGGCACTGGACCTGGAGACTCGAGCAAGGAGGTAACGTTGAGAGGAGAAGCGGACATTTTGGATCAACGCGGATGGGGAGAAAAATCGCGGGATATTTTGAAGGTTGAGGGTAAGAAGAGACAGGTGGGTTGAGGAGGAAGCCATATAAATATTGTCGGTGTAGATATCTGTTTGTGGAGGTGGGAAGGTGTCACATAAGCTTAGGCACGGTAACTAATTGGGGTCCAATCCTTACCAAACTGGGATTCACCAGAGCTTCTGCGGCTAGGGCTTCCTGCGTTCTGGTTTTCCCTGCACACTGGTGCTCGCCCCTGAAGAAAATTTTCAAGATTCTAGCAGTAGGATCTTGTGCTTGATCTCGCGATGCAATCTCTCGTTCTCAGTTTGCAAGACGGCATGATTTCTTCGCGATTTTTCGCATTCTCTTGGTGCTTCAGAACTCTTGAGTTGAAGAATCTTGAGCTTGCAATGTTCGCGGAAAGCTTTCCGATACGTCGTTTGCTTGGGATGGCCGTTCTGGACAAGGTGAAGTCACAGCATACGTGACGATCGCTGTGACCGCCCGGGTCTCTTTCGTTCCACCACGTCGGACCAGGACTGTTGGCGCAATTTCATTCCAGGTCTCGTTGCTCAAAGTCTCTGCACCGGGAACACTGAATTCCCAAATGCATTGGCGGCTCCGTCTAATCCCTCCGAAAGCTTCACTGCGGTTCCCTCAAAGAATTCCTATCGGTGCCGGCGTACAACGTACAACTTCAACCTTCAAGCTCAAGATTTTATATGTACACACCGTTCTCCTCTTCTGCGCCTCTGCGATGTCTTCAAATCATCCTATGAGTCTTACCCAGAGTATTCCCATCGGCGGACGACTTTCCAGTACCTTTTCAACATCTCAAGTTCCAGCTTCGGAGTTCGTACGGCTCTAAACTGAACTTCTAGAAGTTCTGAGTCGGGCGCTTCACGTTGCGTTGGAACTTCCCATGGAAAGACCCGACTTCTCAATCCGAGTGGTAATGATGTCAGCCAGGCTGATGATCGTCGTGAGGCTACATACTCAATAGAGACCCTTGGGCACAGTGACTTCGCTTGCGCGTAGTTCATAACAGTACATACATATCCCGAGTTCAAACCGATGGTTTAATAGGCTTCCTCATGAGCGTTTGTCTTCCGCAGGGCAGGGTTTGATCAATATATACTGTATATGTAATCCTTATATTAGACTGCCCACTTTGGCACGCTGGATCCGGAGACGCGATGAAGGCGAAGAAGTTTGATCCCAAACTCGTCGCGTGAACGATGGAAAATTTTACTATCCCCTCTCAGTTCAATGTCCCATGTTGACGCCGCATATTTTAGGGACGTGACCCTGCGCGAGAGAAGAGGAAGAGGTTCAACGTGTCTGGCCTCATTTTTTCACGTCTTCCTGAAAATGTAGCTCCAGACACGACGCGCGAGGTGCACTCAACCTTCGGTGCTTTGAGGATTCCGGTAATCTCAAGACGCGTCAAACCCATTCTACACGCGCTAGTGCCTATTTGGTGTAGATATCTTCTTCTTAGGCAAAGCTCTTCGTAGCTACGAGCTCATGATACCGCGTTCCAATGTACCCTCCCACAGGAGAAGTCGACAAAGTCATCGGGCCCCAATAAATCAGTGAATATCCCTCTTTTTGTTCATCTCCAACGTCACTCGTTAAAAAGCCCGAGCCACATCAAGACCACCCGCGATAGGAATGAGATACTCCAAATACCACATTCGCTGGGTTTGAAAGACCCCTAACACTATGTTGCGCTGCTGACTTGGCACCAGTACTAGGCAACGATTTTTTTTCCCATTGAGATTCGGGAACCCCGGATCCATCAGGTCCTGCTCTTTCCCGAAACCGATTTTCACGGCTGAAAGAGAGGAAGGGATTCGTGGGGGTTCCGGAACTCTGACCGAAGGCCCGATGTGGGTTCTTTCCGCGTTTTGACTTTGACTTGAGAAGCTTTGGGCCGTTGGGCAGCTGAGGGTACGCTAACCATATAGTTTGGAAAGTTATATTATAGAGGGGGTAAGAGAAGAGGTCGCAGGAAGGGAGGTTCGGGAGGAACGATCGATCACAGGAGATCATAGATTTTGTCTAGAAATACTATACCATAACACCGTTGGTGAAGTGGTTATCATGCTTGCCTTCCATTCCCCATGAAAAGCGGGTTTAGCAAGCGGCTCGGGTTCGATTCCCGAACGGTGTATATCCAATGCAGATAAAACCTTTTTTTTTTTTCGCTGTCAAGAGCAGGTTGCGCACCTCGATATAAGACACATCTAGTTTCTGATATCACTCCGTATTTTTGTATATGCTCCACATAATTACTATTCAACCTTGATTAACGGCGCTATGAAAATGAACCTTTGGGCTAATAGTACACATATAGTACACACGTAGACACTCTGCTTTGGTTGAAAATACTTAGCGTTTCAATCCCGAACCGAATGGCCACCCTCTTCGACATAAATAAAGCAAACCGAGAGAACAAACGCAACCCAGACGTATGAAGTTGACTCATCCCCCCCATACCACCCCACTGACAAAGGTTCGTCCGCCTGTGATCTTACTTCCGCATCATCTTACGCCTCTTCATCATCCTCCTCAACTCTTCCCCGTCGACGGCTTCGTCCGACTCCGAGCCTGCCGGCCGCTTCGAGTTGAGCCATGTCTTGGCTTTGTCCGTCTTGTGAGGCGAGGACCCAGCAGCAACCATATCCGTGTGATTTTGCCCTCCTGCATTAGACAAACGTGTCTCCTCGCCCTTCGAAGCTCCAGTATCATCACCCTCCGAGCGGAGGTTGCTATACGAGGGATGAGGAGAAAGCGGCTTCCGCAAGGGGGAAGGGTTTAGTACGATGCTGGAAGTCGGATATTGGCCTAGAGGAAAGAGAACCGTGTCAGCACCGGTCAAGGACATGAGGGTTCAGAAAAGGTTACTGACCCCTCGTCCCTAGTATCAATGACCTCCCCGAGATCGACGAGGCTCTCGATGGATTGGCTTTGGGCGTCCGAGGCATCCGGAGCTGGAGCACGCGGCTTGGTGAAGCCGACTTCGGTTTCGGGGTCCCAGCGATCTCAATAGACATCCCTCCATCAACGTCGGCATCCATCGCTTCTCCACCCCGAGTATCTCTAATCCAACTCGTCACCCTCCTCACAGCCTCTTTCGCCTTCTCACCCGCAGGAATTCCACTCGACGGGACCGGAGGCAGCAGCTTCTCATACCTCCCCAACCAACCCTCCAAGTCAAGCGCATGATGCGCCCTCAAGAACCTCCTATACTCCCTCGTCGGCGGCCTCCCAACTCCGAGCATCCCATCCTCTCCTTCCTCGAATTCCCTCGGAATCCCGACAGGTACCCTGTACGTCGACCGGGTCAAGACACCCTCAGGATCAGGTACAAAGACATTCCTCGGATGCTCCTTGTAGACCACACGGTATGGGTACCCAAGCTCCTCCGTTCCGTCCAACCCGAATCGAAGAATCAGGCGAGACTTCTCAGATACGAGAGTTTGAAAAGCGACCATATCGATTCGGCCGTTCCCCTCTCTCTGCATGTGGCGAAACATCGCTGAATTCCAAGCTGCGAGTCGCTCCTCGATGTCTCTCTTGAAGGTCCTCATTGTCCTCACGTACCCATCGTATTCCTCCCAGTCCATGGGGAGAAGTTGCTTCTCCAACTCCGCCCGCGTCACCCACTGAATCCCGAGTAACCGAAAGATGATGGACCCAGGGATAGGCCGTGTACGTGGCGGCTGAGTGACGTTTTCGGGAAAGAGAAAACGGAAGTGGTCATCCGGAGGTGGGTCGGCAAGAGTGGGAGGGGGAGAAGCAGGCGTCGCGGTAGCCGTATCATTGTTGTCAATCAACATCATCGTCTTCCCGAAGCTCGTCGCGCTACTGGCCCTGGTAGTGGCATCCTCGCCAACCTCTGTGCGTGTATCGTCGTCCTTGTCCTCAACAGCATCGGCAGACCCTCTCGAAATGTAGTAATCGTAGGTAGCGAGGTCTCGCTTCGCGTACATGAATGCCGGCGTCGTCGGGAGGAGGTCGGGAAGGTCAGCCATGAGGGAGCTAGTGAGGGGAGGCGGTGGAGATGATTGCACTGGCGTTGCTACCATCAGGGAAGAAGTGGATTTGTCGTGTGGCATCGTAATTGAACTCGACTCAGCCTCACCCGAAGACCGAACACGAAGATTCCGGAAGGCATAGTCGATGACTTTGATCTCTGATTCTTCCGGATTATTCGTAAGGGGCTGAGTGGCGGCGTTGGTAGCGGTGGTCGCGGCAGTAGAGTCGAGAATAGGGTGGAAAGCTACATTCGATTGTGGCGATATCTGAGAGGACGTATTCTACGCGAATGTGAATGTTGTTAGCCTACAGGAGAGTATTGAGGAAGAGGTGAGGCGTACATTAACATCGTTCATCTCGACGTCGCTATCGAGAATGTCGGAGCGAAGACTCGTAGACATCATCGACAGACGGACAGAGAGACCGCAGCGGCGAGATCACCGTGAGTCCAAGGACGGTGGAGTAGATGTGTATGGGAGCGAGGCAGGAGAAGGTAAGAAGATGGTGCAAGAAGTGTGGTTGAAGGTGGTATACGCGGTACAGAATGAACCGATGATGGTGGTTCAACTCCAAAGACCTGAACAACCAGTTCGTGACCGTGTTGAATTGTTATTCATGGGCTCACTAGCATACCCGCATTAAGCGCGTAGAGGAAAAGCCATCAAAAATGATCGTCTATTGTCCTCCTAAAATCTCCATTGTCCTTCAGCCTTGCTTACTTGATATCCCCGTTCCTGCCTGTGGACATGTCACGATCATGGTAACATGGCACATGCAACGTTTGGTAGTAGGACTAGGAGAGACTGGAGTGTGTGAACGGTAGGGACCAGAAAAGTTTATTATACCCCGGCGGAGAGACGTTGCTTCTTTGAAGGTTCCGAGAAGTGACTGGGACCGAGAGACCGATCAATGAGCACAAACATTGGCAACAAATGGTCAATGGTTTGTCGGGAAATCGTCAACTGGGCCAGGAACTTACGAGCACCTAACTTTAGTGTTCCTAGCGAAGGCAAAAAGTATTCAGTCAGTATACGACCTAATGAAGCGATAATGACGATACAAATACTCTTACCAGGTACAGCCTGGGATCGCTATTCCTCCTGTGGATTCGACAAGCCAGCGTTTTGGATCTGACCGAGCGCACACTCTTCGAGTTCATTCTCCGCAATCCTAAGCAAGTTTTACGCGCGATCCGGTCCGTTGCACTGACATGCCAAACGAAGTCATGGAATGAAGTTGGGGTACGGTGGTTGTATTCGCATCGGGAGTGTCGTATATCGTCGGCCAAGGCGTAGAACTGAGCGTAAACGAGAAAGCGAGGTCAAATCCTGGCCATTAACGATGGCTGATTTACTTACCATTGCTTGAAACCTTTGCGAACAGCCAATCTCTGTGTACTGCGGTTTTGCCTCAACATTTCCTGTTCAAGGTGACACCGATTTGGGCAGATAGATCGATAAGCCGAAGTTATATGGTCAGAGATGCCATTGGGCCGTACAGCGCGTTCGTTAATTTGTCCCCAAAGCTCAGGGACCATCTTCAGATGCATAAAGCCCAAAAGCGCAACCAGACTTGCACGTTTCTGGTCTCATCGCGTTTGTAGGCCTCGACTGCAAATCACGAACCGATACGCTTCGTGAATCTGGATTGCGGATATGTCGATTGGAATAGTGTAGTAAAAATCCCGAGCAGAGCTATATTATATGAGAAGAATTAGAAACATTATGTTGCAATGTTCAAATCCATCTTACCGTGGGTGAGAAAAGCGAAAATAAGGCTCTTTTTGTAGCGAATTCGTTCGAATGACAGCAGCGTCGCAAATCAAGCTCGTATCTTTTGTCGTGAAAGGCATGGGTCATAAGAAAGGCAGTGGAAAGCGTAGGCTCTAAGTAGAGACACATACGGTACGACAAAGACAAGCGATTCGGATTACTCAGCAAGATCGTGTTTGCTTGAGCATGTTGGTCCTTATTGGTCCAACATTCAAGAAAGCTCAGCCACCGGTTCAGCTATCAGTCGGATAGACAGGCTCACTAACTCATATGAGCTCTGATTTTTGCATCGTACGATAGCACTGTAAGTCTCGAAGCGGTGCTTGGTCGCACTTTCTGTCGCTTTTAAAGCAAGTTTTATGTTCCTAGCAGGAACTAGTACTCGGTGCTGTGGCACGCTTGGCGCGTGGACATCCGACATACCTTCAGTGACACTCATAGCTTCCGAAAAGATGCGGTGGGAATGGGCCTGACCAGCTGCCAGCGGCGCACAGTGCAAAGCCGCGTATTTTCCGTACTCTAATTAGCTCCGAGGAGAAAAGAAAGCCTGGTTGATGGTTGTGGAGACGTGAAAGAGTAAGACGTGGTAGGTCACTTGCAGTCTCCTCTAGCTCAACTAGACATTCTGCCACTCGCAGGTCAGCCGAAGCTTCGGATTCGGCGCAACTGGAGCATTCGCGAGAGTCACAAAGGTATGTCATTGCGTTCGTGTATACTGAAGTCCAATCTAGTCCCTTTTGAATACCAGTTTATCCATCGGAGTGATATCATAAAATGTCCATGGCTGTGGTCAACAGTCACCGTTTCATTGATGCTCGTGACAGAACACCTCCTGCTTCCCAACTGGGTACAGCCTCTAACTGCTGACGTTTAGATGTTGAGTTTTCTCAGAGTCAGAGACGCTAGAAGCGTGTGTCCCTAGCGGGGAAAGCTCCTATACTTCAAATGAGTACACTGTACACTTGGCTGGAGCGGGAGACTATACTCACAGTCCCCGAAGTTGCCTGTACTATTTTCAGCGTGCGTCATCTACCTCCCGTAGAACGGGAAGGCCCCATGGCATTAGCTTCGGGGTTTGCGCCCAAGGGATCGCGAGAATTACAGCCTGCTGACGGTGGGCGCTGACTGTATACTGTGTCGTCGCAGTCCGAACGACTTTCGTAGGTGTGGGGGTTGGCGGCCGCAAGGAAGGGTATAGAAAGAGTGTCGCTGCAGAGTCGTTTCCGCCTCATGTCGTGGTCTCCAGCTGAAGTGAGGAGCGAGTGTTGGTGAAGCGAGGAGGGCTCCTGGGTGGGAAAGGGCGCAGTGTGCAATGTGGGATGACCTATCTCAACCATCGGCAGTTGCACGGCCCTCTTAT